TTATTTGTGAAAAAAAGTTAATTTTGGTTTTTGCAAAAATTGAATACCCGTTTATTTTAAGTTTACTTTATCTTATTTCAAAATTGTAAAATGTTTGCACTGGGTGTTAGGGTGATAAAGGAAATTATTTAAAATTACAGTGAAATCTGCTTATAGTCACTACTGTTTATAGTCATAATTCGGTTACAGTCAACAATTTCGTTGTCAACATCTTTTTTATTATATTTTCATGTATTTTCATTTGTTTATAGTCACAAACGTTTATAGTCACATACGGTTATTGGATCGTATTTTTTGTAAACCATATTGCTTAATTCATATATTTGACGTCGCTTATAGTCACATACTCTGAACGCTTTTTTTTAAAACGGTAAGTAGTTTTACTACCTACTTTACGACAAATAGTTTAATTACAATATTTGTTGTCGAATTTGTAGCGGCAAATGTTGTAACTTAAATATTTTTTTCTGTCACTTTTGCGTATGTACATACATCGGTACATTATTTCCACAACAAAAATTTGTCATTACATACATGTAGACGTTAGATTTGATTCCTTAAAGAATTTTTTGAATATTGTTTTGTTTTAACATACGTACTACATATGTAAGTATGTATATGAATTTTTTGTTTTTGTTTTTCTTTGCGTAAAGCAAATGGGTTTTTTATTTATGTACATACATAATCATATAAGTACTTAATTTAAAATTAAATTTAAAAAAAAAATAAAGTTTTGAGTTTTATTTATAAATTTTTTTTTTCTACTGACGCTTATAGGTATATGATGCTTATAGTCACACATTTTTATGAAATTTTTTGTGTGACTATAAGCGGACTCCACTGTAGTATGAATGAGAATATTTTTTATACATTAGAATCACAGACCTTTCTCAGGGGCTTGAAAAAATTGCACGTGAGCTAATTTGGTGAATATTTTTATAGCCGTACAATGTCACTAGTAAGAAAGGTTCCAGTCGCCGTGAGTCAATTTGTCTCAATTTCTGATCTGCATGCAGTAAATGCTTAAAACCGATGCGTGTTCTGTACAGATCCGCGTGTAGTAAAAATATGCATCTGCTTCAATTTTCAAATCTTTAGTTTATTAGAAATTTTCATAAACACAATAATGTACGCACGCAATATAATTTACATACGCAATATATTTTTGCAGTTGTATAAAAATTTTTGCTATTTTGAAATTTCAGCATTGTGTTCATGAGGAATGAAGTGGTTGCATGTTACTTAACAGATTTAACATCTGCAACAATTTATTTGTAGATTGAGAACATCAATTACTTCACATAATAACTCGTTAACACTGTTATTTCGGGAAAAAAATTGTTATGCGATAAAAACTTATATTTTGCAAAATAATTTTTTTCTGGTTTATGTAAAATAATTTTAAAGAAGCCTGGAGGTTTAACAAAACATGTCGAAAATGGTAAGTATTCAACACACTTGAAAACTAAAAACACGATTTTTACTCTTACCTTACCAAATAAGACTAAATTAGGTTTTCCCACTCTTTTAATTCTCAAAATCTAATTTACGAATTATGGTAGTGCTGATTTGGAAATTTCTACTAGCTCGAGCTTTGATTTTTTAAATTCATTTTTAAATTGAAATTCAAACTTTTCAAAAAATTTGTGAAAAAATGCCTATAATTTAATCTAATAACGTCTATCTAACTATCCATTTTCAAAACTTTTGCCTTAATCAAGACAAAAGAATCCAATTTTGTACACAAATATACAGGACGATTCACCGACAAGCTAGGAACCATATACCACAGAGTATAGGGTCGAAAATGAGTAAAATTTTTGTTCGGAATATAAATCGGAACACTTTCTGAGCTACAGGGATTTTTAGAAAATTTTTCGAAATTTTAACATATTTAAATTTTTTTGCTTATAACTTCCATTTCAAAAAAGATAGAAGTCTCAAACAAATAGTTTTGAAAGAGCCTTACACATAAGATACGTCGAACTCCTATAAAAGCAAGAGCATTACAAATTCGTCTTCCTATATAAAAATAATTCATTGTGCCTACAGCTAAAACAATACAATTCAATCTTTATGATACTCGTATAAAATACCGTAAATTTTTCGTAAATTATCAATTTAATATTTTCCTAAACTTATGAAAAATTTAATATACTAATGGATTTACATTCATAAGATAATGTTATTTCTTTATATCGTTTTTATTATATGAACTTTGAGCTACATATACATATATATAAACACTTATAAGGTCTTGACTTGAATTGTAAAAATAATTGTATTGTTTTAATAACCATGATTTTGATAAACTGCATTTTTTAATAAAACACCTTGAAATTAAATTATATTTTAATAAAACATATAATCCTACAGCTAAGATGTGCACCACTTTTAAGTTGACTAAAAAATTTGCTTATTTTTTTCTACTTGTATTGCCAATTTGTACTGTCTAATCATCAAGCGGATTAAGTACACGTTATATTCACTAACTGCGAATAATTACATTTAAATTGAATCGAATTTCATCATGAATTGAATAACTGCAATTTATTTTGGAATCTAGAGTTTAGGAACATATTTGGAAGATAGGGAATATCAATTGTCTTAATTCGTTCGTGTCTGCTTGCATTTTCCCTGCCATTGGGATCTTTTCATCATATCTACAAACGATGAAACAGCTCTAAAAATAATAGCTTTTCACATAACACTAAACATAGTGGAACAGTTTTTTCAGAGAGTGATCATTTCGGGTTGTTTTAGCTTTTGTTTTGATAATAATGGTTTAAAGTTGAACGTTGATAAGTTTCAGGTTTTAAGCTTTTCACGTAGACAGAGTTAAGACTATGTTGCAGTATACTTGCCAGATTTGCATGCCTTAACGTACTATAGATTTATCTACAATCGAGTGTACTCTAAGCAGATGTCTGAGTTTTGGATTTCGTAGTTAAGTTAATAAGATCTTGTTCAGTTGTTACCTTATGGACATACCTTATTTTGTTTTGATACACTTGGAGATTTTACGCTCTCGCAGCGTGATTGCAGATATATATTTTATTGATGAAATTGTTTTCAGAAATGTTGTTTCGACATTCTTATTAGAACAGGTCTCTCTTTATTGAATTTTAAATTAGATTGTAGTTGGAATAATTTGAAACCCATTGGCTTTGGATTATTTTGATATCCGTGCTGATAAGGCCAATTTTTACTGAGATTTTCTGGTAATTTCTGGTAATTTCTACTATGTATAAACCATATAAACTTCACTTATAGCTTCGCTAAAATAGCTCATTTCTCGCTTGTTTACTTTTTTTAACAATAATAATTAATTCAATAACCTTATGCATTTCATATTCACAAGCCCTAATCTCTGCTAAATCTTTTTGATATTTTCGTAGAATTTTGAAACAATTGTAATTTCTCAATTTAAAATAATTCATTTATTTCTTTACTATTCTGAAGTTAAACTAACATTGAAATTAGATGTATTTTTCCGCCTAAGCCGCAAGTCTTCATGCACTACATCAGTATTAAAACCTCACATAGTTTTAATACTCATGCGATCAGTATTAAAATCTCACAAAGAGCCACAGAAACATGCTTTCGATAAGACGTTAATTTAAAAAAGGACAACAAGGAAATATCTCATTCAGACGAAGAAAGCATGCACGAAATTCTAATAACTTTTTGAAAGTGAGCCTTGGCTAATACAGTAAAGTTTTTAAGTAATCAAATAATACAACCAATCTAGACTTATGATATTCAATTGATTCAATTGATTTGTACTGCCGTTTTAATATAGTTAAGTATTTCAAAATTTATAGTCAAGTATTTTTAAAAATTTTTTTAGAAAATATGACAAATACAAACATACTTATAACAATATTCAATAAAAAATACAGCAAAATAAGTAAGTAATCCTTATAATAATTCCAAAATCATAAATATTTTATCAATTTTTAAATTGAAAATAAAAGGTCTCCCAATAAAAAAAAAACTTAGTTTAACAAAAAGTCAAGCGTTTTCTTCTGTTTTAATTGACTATTTCGTAGATCGCCCACCAGTTATATAACGAATTTGACATCGTTCTAATTTGAAATAACTAAAATTTTGAAATTATTTAATCTATATTTTATTAATTAGAATTATGAAAAGCAAAATTATTTAGTTTGCAGAGCAAATATACTTTTTTTCAATAAAAACTTTATTAATTTCAGATATCTTTACAAAAATACGTATAAGAAATTAATTAATAATTATAATTAAAATTTACTATTTTTTAAGACTATTTAAAACTAACATTTTATTTTATTTGTGGTTCGTTTTGAATTAACAACCTTAACAACTTATTTATTATACCTTTAGTCTTTATAATATAGGTATCTTTCTATTCAGTACTGCTCTTATTTCATATTAAGTAAGTAAGTACTATTGGTTCTTCTTTTTACAAACATATTAGAAACTGATTTATTTGACATATAAGAAATTATATGTGAGTAAGATACCTATGAGTATGCATTTCGGTTCATTCAAAGGTATTTTTATATGCAAATAAATATAGTACATCTATATAACATCTAAGCATGTAAATTATTTTAGGGAATATCTGTTTTCTAAGTAGATTTTATAAAATATCATTTAATTTTTTGTAAATATCAAAAATATTTTATACATTTCCAATAGTTAAGTAGTAAATAAGTAGGTGTAAACATTTTCAATACACCATGCATTATAGAAAAAAGTAGCTAAGTAGATAGATAAGTACTTACCTACCTACCTAATCGCAATTTGAACAAGTATATGTTACCTACGTATGTATGTATGTATATATGGATGTGTATCTACTGATATACTAATCTCGTAAACATCTATCATTCTTCTTTATACATTTTTAAAATTAATTATTAAATAATAAAATTAACTTGTATAAAATAGCCAATAAATAGATAAACTGTATTTACATATTCCTATTTTTTTTTTAAAAACACAGATATACTTACGCAACAAATGAGAATTCATGAAATTTTATTCAGATGAATTCTCTTGCCCATTTTGGTTTTTAAAACAAATATGTAATAATTTTTTTCGTTTTGTTTTTTCAGCGTTTTTTTTTATTTAGCAAATATGCAAGTTTTGTTTTCCCTTCTTTTTCAATTTTAGAAAATAATTATAAAATTTATATAATTTTTTCCTTGTAGTTTCTTTTCGTACATTTCCTTTGCGCTTTTAATTGTGTATCTGAGAAAACCTCTAGTTTTTTTTGTTTTTTGTTCCCCGTTTTTTTTTTTTCTTAGATAGGTACCTAGGTAGGTAGGTAGGTAGGAGATAAATTTTTAATGGATACATTCACTTTATGTAGGTACTTTAATAAATGTTTCAAATTCAACTAGATGATTTATAGTGCAAAATTGTATAAAAAAGGACGTTTTAAAATAACATAAAAAAAAACAAAAATTTAACTAAAAATTTTGATATATCGGGCGCGGGCAATTGAATCACTCAGTTTTATATGTAATTTATAAATTTTTCACTAATTTGTTGATTTTTTTATTTATTTCATCTAAACTTTATTTTATCACATTTTATTTTGACTTTAAAAATTTCATAAATATTTTTATGAATTACACAAGAATTTTTTTCCTTTTATAAATCCAAAAAAACGGGAAGAGGAAAATATATGAAAAAAAATTATTAAACCTTTCAAACAAATATTTTCACTTTTTTTTCTTTTAAATTTTCTGCCCATTAGTGCATTTGATTTTCTTTCTCATTTTATTTAAAAATATTTCAAAAAGAGCTTTATTACACTATTTTTTACAAGTAATTACATATTTAAATCTTTCATAGTAGTGTTTTCACTCATTTTGTTTTTTAAGAATTAAGAAAATTTACTAATTTAGTTTCATTATATTATACTTATAGAACTTTATGTATATTTTTTTTATATCATTTGTAGCAAGAGTTTTTTCAAAAATTCTTATTTGATTTCTGTATAAGAAAATTAACTTTTAAAATTTTATAATTTACTTTATTCAAGCTGAAAGAAGTAATTTATTCAAAAAAAAAAGAAAAGAAAACTAACTATAAGTATTCATGTATGTATTTTTATACAGAAATACACACGTATATGTGTATGTTCAAATCTATTCAAAATCACAACACAAACACATGCAATGAAAAATCATAGAATTTCTACAATCCTACAACACAATTTTTCAATTCTTTCTTTCAACTATCTTGCAATACATTTGCATTTGCATGTAAATAAATATGTTTTCATGTGTGTGGGTGATTTTTTTTCTGGTTAAAAAAATTCCTTAAGCATTGCCAGGTTATAGTTTAATCATATGTTATTTTTTTCTTTTTATTGACATAACAAATCATTAAAACATAAAACTCAAATTGTTTGATATTAAAAAATCAAACAAATATTAAAGAAAATTATTTGGTAATTAGATAGGATACTACAATTGCTTATAAAAATCGTGTTTGTATACGATGATAGTTATTTTGTTTTCCATATATGTTTTTCTAACATAATCTACTGTAACGCCATTTTATAATGAGGTCCTTTTCTATTTTAAACTTCGTGAAAGGCTATAATTTTTTAAATAAGCATAATTTTTTCAGAAATATTGTTATGCAAAAAACAAAAAAAATTATTGTAAATAGAAAATGAATTGTAGAAAAAATTAGATTCATACAGTAAATATTAGCTTCTAACGCAAAAAAAATTGTTTTCAAATAATATTTAAAAGCAGATAGAAATTAATAATTTTGAATTTTACTCATTATTATTAAATAATTTTAATGTATAACTGAAAGCACATTATTGAGGGAAAATAAAATAAAACCGACATTACCAATAGCTTGTCACCTGATTGACAAAATCGAAAGAGAAATCAAAACGGTATTTAATTTTAATCTTTCGAAAAATTCAATAAAACAATTGATAAAAAAAGAATGAATTAATTTTTTTATATATTGAGTACAAAATAAAATATAGTGTTTTAATTAACCTAGTTAATGTTGAGAAATCTAAGTAGAAAATGAAGTAACTAAGTTTTTAACGATTCAGTTTAGAGTCAAAAATTATATGTAAGTATGTATTTTCTTTTGATATAACAAAAACAAGAATATATTATTTTCTGAAATTTTTTAATTTTCATTAGTAGCTTGTTTCTTATGTGATTTAGTTTAGAAATAAATTGTTTTAAGCTTTCGAAATTATAAATTCGAAGTACGTTATCCTACACCGGGGAATTCCACAATCAACATATGTAATAAGGAATAAAATTGTATGTAGAAGTTATCAACCGTAAAGATTTTAAAATGTTTAAAATAACCAGAACAAAAAAAAATCCGGGAAAATGTTTGAACACGCAATCCACCAAACATTACTATGAATATTTAATAATTACGCAGCCTTTAGTAATTTTGGAATAAAAACCTTTAAGCTGACAACACTAACACACTACTTGGACCTTTTGTTTTTGTTGTATTACCATTTATTAGAGTGTAAAATCCTTTGTCATTTTAGTTTGAAAATTCCTCTTTTATTTTTAGAGAACTTTACTTTCGCACTCTTGTTTCCACAAACACTTTTAAAAGATGAATAGTTTGTTTATATAGTTACTTTTTTTTTTACTTTTAATTTTTTTTCTTTAACTTGTTTTCTATGTGTAAGTAAACGTCATTATGTCACATAAAGCCGTGTTTTGTTATAGAAAAAAACTGAATTTGTTCTACACCACGTAAAATATTCCGCCATGTTTGATTGCCTGTAAATGTGTTGAACTGTATGCTAAAATAGTGATGTTAATTATTTTCAATTTTTTTAATTTACTTATTTCTCAAGCTTTGTGCGAACTCTTTTTCTTTCTAAATTTACTACCCTTTCCCTTTTTAATTAACTGATGTTTAAGATGTTAAATTGCTTTAAATACACATTGCACTTTAATCGTAAAATATGACAGACTTTTCCAATATTAGAATTTTATTATAAAAATGTTTTACACAATGTTTTAATATTGGAACAAGTTGACTTGTTTAGTTTTTTATTTCACATTTTATTCCTTTTACGTCACTTCGTATTAGAATAAAACTTATATAAAGTTGAAAAAAACATAGTCTTTTTTCCAAAATAAATAAAGTTCACTTTTAGGTTTTATAAAACATTATCTTCAATTTAATTTCTATAATATTTTGTAAATTTATTTTACACTAATTTAGTAAATTTATCAATTTTTTTTTCGAGTGAATTGCTTGGATTCCTCCAAACGCAAGAAGAACGAAATAACTACTTTTACCCTATAAACATGAAGTCCAAAGTAATAGCTGCTTGATTAAATAATCAACATAAAATCCATAAATGGAAACGTTCAGAAATTAATATATTGAAAATATAAATGGTTACCTTACCATATTAATTATTGTATAAATTGTACTTATTTTAAACCGTTTCTATTAGTTTTATATTTTTTAATTCAACAGAGCAAAACGCTTATAAATATATGTGCATATGTTTGTTCTAATTTTTATTGAGGAATTACGAAACGAGGATTAAAAATTAACTTCAAATTACTCAACTAAAATTTTTTGATATCTCATTTTATTTGCGACGGTTCTAAATGCTAATGCGCTACCCTGAAAGTTTTAAATTATTAAAAATGATTACTTTATCAAATCTGTTAATTATTTTTTATGGAAATTATGCAAAAAAATTTTGCAGAAAAATTACCACAAAAATAACCAAGAAAGTAACCAAGTAATGTGGAAAAAAACATGAGTTAAATTCACATTTTTAGCTTTGTTATATGTTAGGTAAATACATACATATATATCTGTAACTCTGGAATTTTAATAGCAAAACAATCAATACTGAGTACTTAAGCGATTGTTAATATTAATATTCTGTTTTTTAAAAACAATTTAATATTTCATTGTAAAAGATCGAATGATCTCGACTCTTTCAACTTGTATTTAGATTTTAATAAATTTTTAAACTTTAAATCTAAAAAACCTATTCGGCTTCCTATTTAATTAATATGTGCATAACATCAAATTTTCTTTTCGAAAATTCCATATAATATGTACATATTCACAAATGACATTTTCTACCAGATTGTAAAACATGAAAATATAAAATAATCGGAAAACAAAATTTATTTGATTTCAGGTTTAGTGCACTGCATTTCACTCGATTTCAGTTTTGGTGCACTGCTTTTCACTCGATTTCGAAGTTTTCGAAATTACATATTCATATGTCAAAGAATTAGCTAAAATGAAATTTTGTTAAAGTTAAAAGTATAAATTTAGGTTAAAGTCCCTAAAATTTTCGTATATCGGCTTTGTTTATGATGATATTTTTGTTATGTCAAGATCAAAGGAGCAAAAAGCTCCCACACCAATATCTTTATTGGTTTCTATAAATTAGAAGTATAATCTCCGGCTGCTTTTTGCTCATATGATCTCCCATAAAATATAAATTATTTATATGAAAAACAAAATTTAGCTATGAAAACTGATCTCATTTTTTAATTTTTTATAATTACTCATTCTTGTATAACCCATAAAAAATTTACCTTAAAATCGAAAAATTTTATAAAAATATTGAAACTCTTGAAACTAATTTATGACAAACTTGAATAGAAATGTTATTTTTGAGAAAAAAAATTCCTTGCCATTTTGTTTTTATAGTGTGCTGGAAAATTTTACCATGTTCTTTTCCATATGAAAGCTCTTAATTCCTCTTTATATATTCTTAATTTCACCATTAAAAACGCGTCATACAGCTAAACTAATTGACGGAAAGATTTTTAACGAATTTCACTTATTACGTGTTTGCACTTGGCAACCTACAAGTAGAAAAGTTCATTTGGCAAAGGAAAAAATTTTATCAGCTGGAACAACTGATTGTCAGATTTGACAATTTTGATTGTTAGATTTAGACCACAAAAATTAACAGGATCAAATTTAACAGTAGAAGAAACATTTTATTTGTAACAATTTTTTCATCAAAGTATATCAAAACGGATAACCAATTAGGAATCGACATGAAACCGCAAGTCGTAGATGAAATGTTCCCCGAGGGAGCAGGTTTTATGGATTTGGACGAGGTAAATTTATAGTAAATTTAATAAATTGTGATTGTATTAGAAACTTTTTAGGCTGGTGGTTCATCAGGACTATTAGATTTAGCAGCAAATGAGAAACATGTTCATGCAGATTTTTATAATGATTTTGAAGACATATTCGATGAAGATGAAGAAGTAGAACAAGGTAACAATAGCAATAATTCAGGTGTTGGATCAAATAATCCACAATAAAAAGAGCAGTTCAAAAATTTTGTTTATAATTATTTTCAATTATTAAAACTTGTTAGTGAATAAAAACACAAATGTGTATGTGCGTACATATGTATGTAATTGATAAAAAAAATGAATAAATATTTTACATAACTTAATGAATATGTGTCATATAATTGGGAATATTAATTTGTATTTTGTTTGGGATTCTTTCGAGTGCTGGATGAAAAACTATCTGAAATTTGCAAATGAGCAATAGGTCGAGGATACATTCCCTTTTTGTTTTGCAAAAGGTAACTCCTTAATGTGCAATAAGCAATGTCAAAAAATTTTATTTGCATGTTTGTGCATTTTAATTTATTCGTTTAAGGATTAAAGCCTAGCTTTGATAAGTCGAATTTACTCTTTATTTGATTGTTTGGTATTGACCGAAAAAAGAGAAAATAATGACTCTAACTTTATAAAAATCAAATTTGTTGATGAATTAATAATATAGCAAAGTGAGATATTCATAATATTGCTCCCGTATTATAAATTTTGTTACATATTATATTTTAATATGATTATTTTTAAAAGAGGTCGTTACTCTTGGAATGTGCACATTAGTGCCCTGAGAGGCATTTCAACGCAAATTGTACATTTTTGTTGTGCTGCATCTAGACGAACTGTAGCGACTCTTTATTTATTGGTGAGGTCAAATCAAACAAAATATGTAAATAACTTTTCCGTTTATATTAAACTAAAATTAATCACCCACATATGTACTTAAGTATGTATATACATATTTAAGTACATATCATGTATGTAGCCATAAAAATAAGATTTTAAAGATAAAAAGAATTAAAGAATTCTAAAATATGATCAATAAGAATACGTATTTAAAATAATTTTTTTGTATTTGAAAAATTATAACAGTGAAAAATATTATTAAAAACATAATTACATATTTCTTTACTCATTTTTTCCATCTTTTGTTACAAGTGCATAGATTCATGCAGTAGTATGTAAGTACATGAAATACAAATTTAATTTATTAATAATGATTTCATTTGCTGAAGTTACATTATTCATATACATATTTAGTAAGAGTTTATTGATATTCAACATTTTAATATTTTATGTAGTTTTATTTAGTGATGAAAATATTTATTGAACTTTTCTCAACAACTTCACACAAATTTTCTTTTGTTTAAATTAAATATGAAAGGAACGATATGTAAGATTTTAAAAAAATTTATACATACTTAAAGTAGGTAATATTTTGAAAAATAAATTTTTAAAAGGAACTGAAAATAAGTAAGCTCATATTTTTTTTGAAAATTTGTTTTAATTAAATAATATTTTAATAAGTCGTTTTGAGTTTATTTATGAAAAAGTGAGCTAATTTGGTATTAGCATTTTAAAATTCCGAAAACTAAAATTTAATAAAAATTAAAATTCAATGTGAATGAAAATTGATTTCTATTTATTTATTTAAAATTTCAGACAAATTTTTTTAAATTATATGTATTTGAATGAAACTAAAATAGAAAAATTTAAGCTAAGCCATGAATTACACTTACGTAAGTATACTTTAACAAAAGGAAAATTCATATAACAACAAAAGTAGGTATTTAACAAATTGCATACAAAACAAAAATTGTACAAAAAAAAAATAATACAAAAAAAAAAAAAATTTCTACTACAGGTTCCTATGCTTATTACTAATATTAATTTATTGGTTAAGTAGAGGTACTGGAATATAACTTATATAAGAATGCTATATATTTATGTTAAAAGGTTCCGTGCTAGCTTCTTTAAAGTTTAACATCATAAATAATTATTTCATTATTTCTGTAAATAATTTCACCATCTCAGTAATATTATAAATAAGTTATAATTTTGACTAGTTTTTTAATTAAAGTATAGAACACTATTTTTATCATTTTGAAGAAAATAATTTAAAAAATAATCCTTTTAAACTAAAATAGTAATGAATAAAATTTGCAATAAAACAAATAGTATTGCACAGAATACAGTTTCAAATGTATGTATATATGAATATAGAACTTTTGTTATCTAATTACTTAAATTACTTAATTTTACTTAATATAATTATTAAATAATATATCTATTCTCCTAAAAATTGATTTTAGATATTTTAAATCAAGTTTATAGAAATCTTACATTTTACTGTTATAAAACTTTATTTTATGACTAGATTTAATAACGATTAATATGCGTTGAATTTGTATTAAATTAAAAATTAACCATCCAGTGGAGGACCTAGATATATCATTGATACTTCTGTATTACCATAGACTGCCGACACAGTTGGATAAAATGTTTTAGGTGGTAAACCTAAAATAAAATTTAAAAACTTTGATTTTAAAATATTTATGAAAATTTTTACCTCTAAATGCAACGCCTAAAAATTCTGAATTCTTTTCAAATGACAACGTGTTGTCATCACAGTCTAATACTACTCTTATTCTTTCACCCACCTAAAAATAATAATATACATTATTAAAACTTTACAAGTGAGTAGAAAGAATTACTTGATATTTGGGCGCATTGTTTAGTAACGGATAGTTGCCTTGTGCATCTCCATTATGCAATAAGTGATTATCAACTAAATTCCAACCCCAACTTTGATCATCGGATCCTAATAAAGCAACATATCCATGGCATTGTAATGAAGCTTCTCGTGTCGATATGCCAATTACAGCTACCGTACCTAATGGACCTTCCCAAATTACTTCCCAAGCATGTCTGCCCTGCGTGAATCCCATTTTTCCCCTTGCAGCATCTGTACTTTGGGCAACTGGATTTCTATGTAATGTAAAACCATTTGGTCTAATAAAAACATTGCGAGAACAATCAATAGGATTCCACGCATAATAAAATGCCCTAAGTTTTGCTTTGTATGTTGGCACCGATGATAACAAATCGGATTTAAAAGCGTCTTCTGATAATTTTTTTAAGCAGTGCATTCGCCAAACATCATTATTTTCATCATTTAAAAAATTATACCACCTTTTACAGACCAGTGAACAATTACCCAAATCTGCTAAATCTAGATATGAAAATATATTCTCAAGAATATTATCTGGTAAAAAAGACGCAAAAGTTCTTTCATTCATTTCAAGACTGAACTACTTATAACATTAAGTATTGATACCAAATCGATGAGCCTTTTTTTGCTGAAAATCGATATTTTAAGTACTTTGATGTTTCTTTCTATATAAAATTTTTAATTGAAGTAGAAAACCATTTTAAAGATTTATTTAAAAAGTCCTGCATAACAATACACATACAGTAGAAAGTTGCTTAAATTTTGAAATTAACACAAAGTTTCACAATTCAATTTTGATTTAGATTTGTTTTGAAAGCAGACAACAAAATACAAGAAAAAAATTGGCTCGTTTGCTGTTTTTATAGTTTGTTTTTCTTTTTATTGTTGTGTATTAATTTTGACAGTATTATTCAGCAAATGGTGCGCTATCTTGTGGTGAACGGGTAATGTTAATCAGCTGATTTTTTGTTTATTTTTAAAATGACAGTATGGGTATCAGCTGTATGTAAACAAAAAAAAATTAAGAGAAGGCAGCACTAGTGCAAGAAACTGATTTATAATAATAAACCGTTATATGTAAATTCCTTAGTACACTTTTGAAATTTATGTACATGCATCTAATGTCTTTCGCAAATTACTTTTGTATCGAGTACGTATAAATTCAATATTGCTTCTGTGGAATAAATTTACCACAAAACGAAATGTGAGCAATTCATATAAGACCAATATTGCTCGTTCAATATTGCTCTTGTAAAATAAATCTACACCAAAATGAAATGTGAATGGGAAAAATGTTGGAATTTGTTACGTCCACTATGATAAAATGACACCTGTTCCAGTTTGATTTACTGTAGTCTTCGTCAACCATTTTAATGTTATAAAGTCTATATAAAATATTCCTAAGTCTTATAAAATATAAGTCTATACTTACTTATAAACAACTATGCAACCTTAAATTTTTTATTCATAGCTTCTTATTGGAAATGTCATTTGCAAAAGCATTAAGAAAATACGTATAAATCACAAATTCCAAACTTCAGGTATTAACACTTTTCTTAAGTTTTTGGTAATTGTCACACAAATTTTATTGTTTCTTTCCCTATTGACGTAGTTTTAAAAATTCCACCCTGTAAAAATATGAACCAAATTAAAAATTGGTCAAAAATATATTTTTTGCAAAAGGTAGAAAAAAGTAGTATGGAGACAGAATTAACTTTTAACTCAGTTAACTTATTAAGAAATAATAAGTTTTGTTTTTTTTTCACCAAAAATTGTTATGTATTTAATTTTTAATGTTGCATGAACTTTGACACATACTTTAATGTTGTCAAAATTTAATTAAATTATTTAAAAACTTTTCTCGAATCTTACTTTTAAAAATACATAGAAATTAAAATTTTACTGAATTATATTTTAATTTTTGTTTCGTAAAAGAAGAGCTCTTATTTTAATGGGCGTATACGGCAACGGCTACATTCGACATCGACAGTCGCAGATTTTCAGTAAATTGAATATTTGTCGCTGCAACATGTGCTGGTAATTGAATAAGAAACGTCATTTTTAATTTTGAAATAAAAATGGCAAGGAAAACGGTCACTATGTTATAAATTCAAAAGCAAAATTAAAAACAAAAACAAACATTTTATATTTATGTTCTTGGTTAAGTTACTGTCGCTAACAATATAAGTAAAAACAGTTTTTAGATTGTTTTCGATTAAAATAATGTCGCTATCTACGTAAGCTATCTTGTGGCATTTTCTCTACATTTCGCCGTTGCAGTGTCGCAGAAATGTTAACAGCGCATTGTACATGCACAAGACAGATATTTGAATAATGAGTTATTTTTAGTTTTGTCTTAGCGACGTGAATTTTAAGATCAGGCATTTCGCCAAAAAAGTGAATTTTGACAAAGATGAATACGCCAGTTCCTGATACGCGGGCGCCGCGAACCGCAAAAGGTCTTATGTAATTTAAATTCTCAAATAGAAAAAAATAAATTTGCGATGTCAAATAAAATTTTCATGAAAATTGAAATTAATATTTTTATACCTTGTCCAAAGCATGTTATTCAAGAATACGAGTAACATGTTATTATATCAATTTGTGATAGAATTTTAATACCTATTAGAAAGTTTCTTTGGTGTTCATTTTGAAATTAAACCAGATAGAATACATCTAAAACGCTAACAGAATTTAGAAAATATCGATGAATCTTTGTGAGTTATTATATTATGTATGGTTGAGTTATTATGAGTTTTGTGAAATTATGCACTGAAAAAATTTGAAATATGTATTATGCTGAAACTACTGTTATTACATTCAAGCCGTACTGTGTATAAAATTAAGATTAAATTTACTAAAAAATAAAAATAAATATATAAGTAATCTGCATACAAAAAATTTAATTAAAAAAATGAACATGAAATTATTAAACTACGTATGTACATAGTTATAAAAGTTACAAAGTTTTTTTCAAACAGTCAATTGACATGTGTAAACAATTAAAAATTGGTAAGATAGAGTGAAATAGTTTCGGTAAATTTTATTGATTATCAAAAAGGTAGATCATTTCTTAAAATCTCATAGGAGTTCAAAGTTTTTAAAGAAAAATATTTTTATTTTTAAATTAATAATCTTTTGTAACCTTGTCTTAAAATTAATAACTTTTGTAATCTTTGTTCTTAGATATAAATATAAATATTAATCATGGAAAATTAAATACCTACAAATATTATAAATAAATTTATCCACATAAATATATGTACATACTTACATGTATTATCATTTTTTAAACAGACGAAATATTATCTATTTCTTTAATTTTCTCTCTTTCTTGTAGCTGCAATTGCATATAAAAGAATTGCTCAACTTGCATTGTCAAAAATCAAGAAAATTAAATTAGTTTACTAAACGTTTTTTTATAATACTTAAGATATTAAACCTAATTCTATTTCTGAACAAGGCTAAATATTTGTTTTTAGTTTTAGTTTTTGAGGATATTTATGAGTTCCTATAATTTTTTTAACTATTCATATTCACGATTATAGTACAAAATAACTGTTCATATGTATAATTAATGTATTTTTAACTGTTCATATGTATAATTATAGTACAAAATAAACAGTTTTGTAAGATTTATTACATTTTCCGACATATAAAACCCTGTGCCAACTAACTATGATAAAAAAAAAATAAATAAAAAATAATAAATAATGTTAGCGACTTCAGATGCAATTTTTTAGTCAAATTGGAAGGGGCTGTTTTTTGCAATTTAATACCAACATAATCTAATAAAAACAACTAGATATAAATTTTTTATAAATGAAATTTTAGTTTCTTGTTTCAAAAGTAAATTATACCGTTATTTAAAAGTGTTTCATATATTACTGTTTCCTGTTATTTCAGCTCCCTCTTTATATGATTGACTATACTTTGACATTTGACCGCAACGCAAAAACTCGATTCTGGCGCCATATCAGCTGTCAAATCGCGACAACACAAGAACTAAAAGTTTTCTTATAATTCAATAGTAAATGAACAGAAATTCCATTGATTTGATTTAAAAAAAAATATAATAGAAATAACATTATAATTATAAAATTATAATATAGTGTAAATTTATTACCTTATATATTATTTTGAATAATTAATATGAAATTTTAAGGAGTTTTTCTAAAGGTATTTAGACAAAAGAAATGTGGTTATTTCAATAACTAAATTGGAAAAAAATCGCCATTTTACATTTTGGGATCGCGCGTACCTCAAAAAGACGGCCAAATATTAAATTGAAAATAATTTTATAATTTTAATTTTTTTCATTTTGAAAGATAAACAAAACTTTTAAAAAATAATATATTAAGTATTGTTTATAATTTAATTGTACTGTTTTAAATTTCTTGTATTGGAAATTGATGTAAAGATATATGGACAAATTGGGTCGAGTTTCGTCTTTAAAATCGTGAAAAAAACTGGTGGTAGTAGGTGAATGAAGAAATGGCGCATTCAGGAACAGAAATTGATTATTTAGTTCGAAATGAGCATGGTAAGAATATATTAATTTTAATTAAATATATTAATTAAAATATGTACACACATATATACAGCTTCATAAAAAATTAAGTATGTGTGTAAAAGAAAAACAATTTTAATTGCGTTTTAAAAGCACCGATAGTAATACTTAAGAGAGCAGCGTTGGCCTCTGAAAACATTTTGAGGATTTTTTGTTTTTTTTTTTTTATTGCATATGTGTATTTCAATCGTACAATGAAGACCTCATGCCAAGGACGCAAAAATAAATGAACTATATGTTCATACTGAATTGCTTGCAAGATTTCGCAAGAGCTGTTTTTTTTTTTTCCAGATTACTCTTAGTATTTACCTATACTTGTTATAATGAACATCTTCACTGATAAGTGATAATATTGATACCAGAAATATTTTTATTAAATTTAAATTTATAATTATGATCATTAAAAAAATTTAGTTAGAGTAATATCGATACAATTTTTACTTAAATATTTGTTTACTTAAGAATTATGCATTTTTTTGGGCAATTCGTACTTGATTGATTTCCAAATGTGTACCTACCTACGTGTGCATACTCTACAATATTGGCAATGTTATGCTATATTAAAATAATTGCACTAATATAAGGTAAAGGTTTACTTCTTTATATTATAAGTGCTTTTTAACGAAATACCATTACTTACATACCTACTCACTGTAAAAATATTAGTATTAAAATAAAGGTTCCTAATAATTTTCAAAAATTTATTCATACCTATATTAATATTTACCTGCATGCATATGTGTACACATTAATCAGTTGTTTATATAGACACAAAAACTTCTACAAATTGTCAAATTGATTACAATATTAACAAATAATGTGTCAGAGATATTCTTAATATTCCCACATTTGCATAAAATTATAAAGTTTCATAAAACATACCATTGATCACGTTCACTAAAATATCAACATAGAAATTTTCAAAGAAAATTGAATTTGCCAAGTGAGTACACAGCTTCAGAAAATCTTACACTGACGTTTTTTCATTTATTCATTTATAATATTTTTAGGGAAGAATAACTGTGTTTATTACCGTCAGTATTGTGCCATAATTTTTTTTAATATAATTTTTCCTCGATTATAAATCCTTTCTCATTATGTTTAAGGACTAAAAAAAAATGGTAAAAATATTTTTGTGACATAGCTCTTATACCTAAATCCTTGATTGAAAAAGGATGTGTAACTCCTTAGCATTGTCCAATGATTTTTTTTAGAATTTCTTCCGAAATTTTAAGTATTTTAATTTGGAAATTATTAAGTTTCTAGTATTGCAAATTTTAAAGTTTTATTTAAATAATCAAATTTTAAATTTAAAAAATTATTTAAATTTTAAATTTTCAAATTTTTAATTATTGCTATTAAGTAGTACTAACCATATTTGTCGTAGTCTTCTATATCAATATTGTTTTTATGAATGTTCTGAATTTTATCAAAAGACTCGTGTGTTGTCGTTGTTTACATACCTATGTAACTGATATTTTCATTAAAATAGTTGATCAATTTATTTTATTAAAAATCTTTATAAAACTTTTAATAAAAACCTAAAATATAATTAAATATGTAATTACTGTGGGGCTTTACACCTCAACGCGGTTCCCTAAGAGTAAGAGTTCCTCGCTTGCATTTTTATTGAAAATATGTAAATCCATGATATGTGAGATTTTATCTTACATGCAGGGATCTATTTGAACAAAAACAATAGAATAGAGCTCATTTTTTTTTTGATTTTACATGGGTTAGTTATAATAACTAACAAATTTTTAGAAGCAAATTATTGTATCATAAATATGTATGTATTAATAAGCGATTTCCTATCCTTGCTGAATAAAAAGAACAGCAGTTATTTACTTATTGTGTTTAATTGGGTAAATAACTATTATATGTATTTCATTCAGTTTTATTTTTTTTCTCATTAATTTAATTTTTTTAAATTATTCTTTAAATGTACAGAAACAAACTTTTAAATTACATTTTTTAATAGGAAAACATGTTACGAGAAATCATATTTTATGAAAGTTTGTTTTTAAAAAACGTTTTTCTTTTCTTTGAGTCAATGTAATAGTTTTTCTGAAGTAGGATTCTATTACCTTAAGGGGAGTTTATAAACATGTTTTTCATGACTCCCTTTAATTTGTAGAAAAATGAATTTTTGAAACTTTAACATTAAAACTTCAAACATAAAAAATTTAAGCAGCAAGAAATGTTAATAAAGAAAATGTTAGGGAAATTTATAAATTAGCTCTATGTATAAAGTGTAAAATTTATACTTTAAGGAAATCTTTCACAAAAAAATTCACAAAATTAATGATTTATTTCAATTTTTTGATGAGAATATTTCATAAAAAATTTAAATTATTGATAATTTTATATTAATGAGCAGTAAAGAATAAACAATTATCAATTGAAATTTAAAACTACTTTTTGGCGTATGTACATAAATATTTCAATTCAATTCAATTCAATTTATAAGTGGAAGTAATAAGATGTATCAAACTTTTGATTATAAATATTTTAACTAAATTTATTTAAAAATATTTATCCGATTAAAGTGTAGATAAATATAAAGATTTAGTTTGAGCGGCAAATGTAGGATCTGATGGTGTTTCTCTCTTTTTACTCCAATGTCATTTTCAGGTGAACATATTTTCATATTGCATACTTCATTTTTTATTTTTACAAGTAGGTAATATTTTAAGGAAAATTAAAAATCTTGAAAAATGAACAAATTTATTTAAAATAGGTTTCAGATGGGGTACTTTACATGACATTTTATCTATTTTTCCATTGGCCTTTTGGATACTTCTCCTTTTTTATTACCAAGTTCAAACAATAAGATTTTTAAATATGTGTGCAAAAAAATTTCAGAAATTTTAGAGTTGCAGCTTGCACATTTATTTTTGAATATATTTAAGTGACTTACAGTGCAAATGATGAAAAAAACTGAGAAAAAAATTTTTGTTTGCATAAGAAATAAATGTTTTGCTTGTTTACAATATACCATAATCACCTGTTAGACACGATAAAGTAGTCTATCCCATGACGTCACCTTAAAAATCTGTTTTTCAAAGTCGTTAAAGTAAAAAATAATTTAGATTGGTTTAGGTGATATTTTAAAGTTGGTAAATAAATTGTTTGATTTCCATAGTATTTTAAAATAAAAAAAGTTGAATTTAGTGTAGAGATAGCTGAAAACAAATAATAGGGCATCTAAAAAATAGATACAAACTAAGTTTTAATTAGCAACATCATTTTAATTGCTAATAAATGATTAATAATTACAATTTATTATATTGTTAACACTATGTATATGTATATACGTATATATGTAGGCATGTTAAAAAATTTTATTACACAAACACAATTTTATTTCAAAAATAAAGAATTTGAAATATTTTTTATTTTAAGGAAAACTTATCAAAGTCATACATCATACAAATATAAAACAAGAACAAAATTCAATAGGTTCCACAGATATGTATAGCCAGTATTCCGATTCAGGAGTTTACAATGAACATACGGTACATATATTGCTTAAAACTTTGTTTTTTATGTTGATTTCGGTTTTTTTTATTTCGGTGTACCTTAGGATTTATTAGGTGAATCAAATTATGTAAGAGTACAAAATTATAACTTTCAACAAGCAACAAGTGAGTAAAAGCTACTTTCCAACATTACCAAGAAAATTTAATACAAAAAACTAAATGTAATTGTGTTTTTTCAGATTCAGGATATTCGGTTGTGCCACAGACAACAAGCTCAGGACGTACTATTAAGCAAACTAGTGCAAGTATGGTAAGTTGGAAGAAAAGAAATTCAAAGAACTGTTTTTCCAAAAACAAATTTTCAAATTCAAGTTTTAATAAAAAATACTGCCAATTTTACTAAAATGTATTTTTATTTTAGGCAATGAAATCAAATGAGGCGAAAGTGAATAAATATGTAGCAAATAATAGTAGTCATACACAAACCAGTAAATCAAAACCGTAAGTCTTTTATTACATAAAGTTACATGTTTTAATTCATTTTAATTTGAAAAGTAGTACAGTACAAAGTTCAGTTTCAAGACGCCGTAAACCTGATAAAGTTGGAAGAGGCCTAAGGCATTTTTCAAATAAAGTTTGTGAAAAAGTTCGCGCAAAAGGTACAACAACATACAATGAAGTGGCCGATGAATTAGTCAATGAAGAAGTCCAAAATCAAGTGACTTATGATGCAGTCAATTGTGATCAGAAGAATATAAGACGACGTGTATATGATGCCTTGAATGTTTTAATGGCTATGAACATTATTTCAAAGGATAAAAAAGAAATACGCTGGATTGGTTTGCCTACAAATTCTGTCCAACAATGCAGAAATTTGGAAAAGGAAAATCAAAAACGTAGAGAACGAATAGAAAGAAAACATCAACAGCTTAGGGAACTCTTACTGCAAAAAGTGCAATTTCAAAGTTTAGTTGAAAGAAACAAAGAGGCTGAAAGACAAGGCTTCATACCGGCTTCAAATTCATCAATTCAGTTGCCATTTATTATTGTAAATACGCACAAAAATACTAAAATAAATTGTAGTATTTCACATGATAAGTAAGTTATCATATAAATGAAAGCTTTGATTTCATTTTAATTTTCATTTAAGATCTGAATATCATTTTGAGTTTAACGATAAATTTGAAATTCACGATGATGTAGAAGTGCTGAAGCATATGGGCTTAGGGTTAGGTACTTAATATAACACTTTATTTATGACCTTTTTTTTTAGCCGCTCAGATTATTTCAAAAATTTATTGCTTTTAGGTCTCGATAAGGGTGAGTGCACATATGAAGATGTTGAAAAAGCTAAAAGCATGGTACCGAAAAAATTTGAACAATATATCGAAGGTAAATAGAAATAACATAATAAATCAATCAAAAGAAAATTGAAACCTTTTTTTTTCATAAAACTAATTTTCAGCTTATGGTTGCGGTCGAGATGTTGATCTAATTGCGGAAGACTGTTCCTATATGGAAGAAAATTCTCAACAAGCTTTGTCAACACGGACAATAGATCAGTCTTCAGAACAAGGTGAATATGATGAGGATTTGATCTCAGAGTCTAGTGAAATTGAATAAACTTTTATAATTTTATCCACAAAATTATTAATTTGTACTTTTTTTAGATTAAAAAAAGAAATGATTTTTTTTTAGTACTAGTTCTTTGTTAATTTAGAAGTTCGAAAATCTTACTCAATTGAATTACAACATCAATAAAAATTAAACTTGCAAGTTGATATAAATATCAAAAACTATTTAACACCACTATTTAATTTTTTAATAAGCAAGTGTTTATTGTACTTTTCTAGATCTATACAAAATAATATGAATAACAATACAGGTATATTAAATATAAATGAAAAAATAATATACATACTTTACTATTTATGTTGAACATTTAATTCTTTCATAAGAAGCTTTTGTCTTTTTTAAAATTATAAATAGTTACAAACTTAATTTAGACAATGAATTTAAAATCAAAGCGCTTTCAACAATATCGGCAATAAAAAATTGCAAACTCATAGAAAACACATATTATTTTTATACATATTTTTCAACATTATTTTATTGGAGAACATCTTCGAGAGTTATGTATATTAAAATTATATAAGTACCGAATAGATTTTTATTAAAACAAAATAAGTAAATTATTTAACTTGATTTTCGATACAGGTTTATTTTAATAACATTTAATTACGTTAGACCGTGGAATGCATGTCATATCCTAATTTTCTTCAGTTTCTAAAAAACTTAAAAGAATATTTTCGAAGTCCTATGTTCAATTTCTAAATTTATTTCTTTGAACTAAAGTACATTTCACATTTTATGTTAATGGCATTTATATCATAGAGATTTTTATATAACACTAAAATAAATTAGATTACGGTTTAGTTCTCAATTTGAGTTTAAATGCTTGAATGCTACTTTAAAAGTAAAATTAAAAAAAAATTTGTTATAAACCAGTTTTTGGTATAAGTTTTCTGAAAACTGAAAAAATGGATTTAGTTTTTGCTATAAGTTTTCTGAAAACAAATAATGGCTTTGTTATTTTAAAATTTAAACCTACTAATTCCATTGCGTACATACGACGCAATGAGTTAATTAAGAAGAACTAAGATTTGTTGTAACATCGTTTTAAATGATGTAGACCAATGATTATAATGTTGTCTGCACCTTATTGAGTATCTCAACAATTAAGTTTAGGTAAGAAAAGGATTTACATACATAACGTGTTAATCCTTTTTCTTAATTTTATAATTCAAATTTTAAATTTTGTTTTTGAAACAACACTTATGTACCTATGTATGTATCTCACTTGCTAACATGTATTCTGTTTTTTTTTTTTTTTATGATTTATCTTTGATATTTTTTATTGTATAAAAACTACATATATAAAAATCGTAATGTAAAAGATAAAATTATTTTCTATAATAAACTAACTGCTTTACATTACATGTTATATATTATTTTGTATTATGAATAAATGTTTTTATACTGAATAGACATACATATACATATGTATTAGAGAAGCAACAGAAGTATTGAGTACCTTCGTTACTGATTTTCTTTAATTTTTTTTTTTGGGATCAAAATTTTGCCAAAAACATTCTCGATAATAATAATTATTGAGAGAAAATTATAAAAAATTGTATACCAAAAATGTAATATATATTTGATTTTTTGTTCTAATATTCATTTGGTTTCGATTGTAAATTAGTGTTTTAAATTTTAAAACTATTAAAAATATTTTGTTTAAATATCAATAGTTGAATAATGTTTTACTTGTATACTTGAAGTATTTATGTATGTATAGGGTTTGTGTATTTCTTTTCGTTAAGGCAGTAGTGTCAGAATAAATCGTACAGATAAATTTTAATCTTTTTTTTTAATTCACAAAAAATATTTTTTTTTTCAAAAATCTTGTAATCATGAGATAAAAAAAAGTTTTGAATTTAAAAGGTTGTAGAATAATCGTAATATGTATTTGTAAAATTTGAAAAATTTTTTATTTTTGCTTGAGGAATGGAATTTTTCATTTGAATTTGAATTTAAAAAAATTTTAACACAATTTAACAATTCATTAGATATTTAGAACTGTCACTTGCATTTTGGTTCAAAAATGATGCTTAACTTCCCTTTAGCACGATTTGTTTCCTTTTTTTTAGATTTTTTAACTGAAATAGCTACAGAGTAAAATAATTGAATTGATAATAAAGTTATAAGATTAATGTTTATTTAAAACAATATGTACATACATATTTTATGTTGGCTTTGTCAAATTGAGTAAGGTGTAACAGCGGCCATTTTAATAATGAAATAAAAACATGAATCATGTTAAAAAGCCTATAAAAAAACGCAAATTAGAAATATTTCTATTCCGCCTGTTTATGTTTTACTTTCATTAAAATAATTAAAGATTTAAAACCAAAACGAACAAAAATTTGAAAATATAAAAATAGTAATGTCATTTAACTTTAAGGATATAAAATTATGTAGTACCTTAAAATTGACAACTAAAATGTAAAATAAAAACAATAACTACATATTTGCTTTAATTTTCGCTCAAATTTTAAATCTACATTTATATGTACATATATCGAAAATTGAAGTAAAAATTAAGTATTTTGCTAAAATTTTGTACATTTTTTTTTCTTGTTAATCATAGAAACATATGTATGTATGTACTCTATTGCAGTAGAATAATAAGATTTAACGTATAAAATAACATTAGTTATGTCTTCTTGTCAATGTGGGAGTGTATATACATATTTTACCTTTTATATATATATATATATATATATCATATATTTTATATATATATATATATATATATCATATATTTTATATATATATATATATATATCATATATTTTATATATATATATATATATATATCTATAAGGCCATCAAGCTGAAACTATTTTCCGAAATCGAAAAAAACTAAAAAAGCAATTCTTTAACTCTCACTTTATTAAGTATAGTTTTAAAAGTCATCTAGGTTATTATATTTATTTTTTTTGTTCTTTTTTCAATTTCTTTTTAAATTCATTTTATTCAAGAATTTTACTCTGTAATTCAGTACCTTTCCATTTTTAAGACAAGAAAGGTTGTCTGCGCCAAAAATTGCATTTTTTTTGTTTTTAAAGGCGTTTTTCAGATGGAACTTACCAACCAATTTTTTTTAAATTTAAATTTTAAATTTAAAAAAGTATGTAGAATCAGTAGAGCTTAAAATATTGATTAATTTCCTTCACACAAATAAATTCCGACACCCCTTCCATTTAAACTCCATATAAATTTGGAATTTATTTTTGATTTGTTCTCTGAGCTTGATGGCTTGATAGATATATATGGCATTAGTTTTTTTATATCTGTTAGCTTCATGGATGACTAAAACAAGATTTCATATTTGAAATTATTGAGGAACTATGAATAAAAACAAAAATCATACGCCATATTTAATAGTGATAATTGAGAGTACATTTCTCTATTTCATATAATATTTAATTTTTTGGTTTTCTTTGTGCGCATATTATTGACTAATGATTTCTAATAATTTTAAGAAGTTTCTGAGAAATAATTATTGTAAAATAGCTTGAAAATTAAAATAATTTTAACAACTACTTCGAGTGAGGCATTTTAATCAATCGATTAACACTAAATTTCTTTAGCAAATTCGTAGGAAGGTTTCTACAGTTGAAATCTTATTTTAGATTGTTATCTAAAATAATAAAAGTAATTGATTATAATTTTCGCGTAATGTTGAGTTAGAGCACATTTGTGAGGATATAAGCTTTTTAAATTTATTTTAGTGGAAGGCAAATTTTAATTAATTTATAGTCATTTAATTTTTCCAAAATAAATTATAATACTAAATTTTTTGGTGTCGATAAAGAGAAGCTCACTAATATAGTTGCAAGATTTAATTAAAAAAAATAAATGGGTGTTTATGTAAAATCTAAAAATTTTTGCACTATTGTTTTTTATTAGTTTACTTTTTTTTATAAAATAAATTATGTATTGGTTTATTGATATTGTATTTATCATTTATCTAATAAATCTTGGCGCATTTATCATCAATTCTTAAATTTATTTTTTTGCTATCGGGTACTTATTGTAAATTTTGCGTGCACATAGTTGTAATTAAAAACAAATCGGAAATTCGCTTAATTTTGCATAATTTTTATAAGGCTATTATTGTACTAGTTTTTTTACATAATTTTACGTCTGTGGACTTCTTTATTAGCCTGCTACATGCAAATATTGTTGACACGTATATACCATACATATGTACATAATTCTAGTTTTTTTAATTGACGAATACGGTGAAAATCACCCTTTTAATTATAAATTACACTTCAAAAAAGAAATAATAGTAACTTTTGAATACAATTATTGCAACTAATTAAATTTAAAACTAAATTCTTAACAATTAGAAAATAATTGAAATGAAACAGAAACAAAATTTGTATAAGGATCAATTTATAGATAAAACAATATTATAATAATATAAAAAACGATTACATATAAATTTACGCTTCGACTGGCAAAAAGAAAAATTGAACTTAAAAAAAATAAATACATACAATAAACAAAAAGAAACACGAAAAGGTTATTTAAAAAATAAGGAAAAATATTTTTAATTATTATTTTTAAGAATAATAAAATAGGGAAAAAAATAATGAAAATAAATAAAAAATTGACAAAAAATTAGTTATTTTCCTTAATTTCGCTTTACAGATAAATCTATTCAACTTTTCAACTTAGAAAGGGAGATCAACAGTAAAATATTTTTATCATATTTTATTCTACTATTTTGTACTAATTATAATATTCTAATATTTAATTATACTTAATACATAGTGGGATGTTTTGTAGATTTTTTAACATATATTTTTTAACATACATGTATTCATCTATTTGAAAGTAACATATACCCTTAACCTTTAAGAAAAGATATTGGCCTTTAAGATACCATTTCTAGATGAAAAGATCCTACCAAAAGTAGCAAGTTCGATAAATCCCAATTAAAAAAGAATCATTTCAATAAACATAGTATGCATTCTACTTTTTTTAGATACTTTAAGTAATTTTTTTATATCTAACAGGTCCTAATGCTAAGAAAGAAACTTAAAAGCACGACCTTATTTCATATGGGTTTTTTTTAAACCGAAGTGGCTATTTTTTGAGAAGAAATATTAAAATAAATTCACACTTATTATAAAGCAGGTAAAATTTCGGAAATCTATTTGAAAAATCAAGAAAATATTAATATTTTCATTCATAATTATTTTAAAATTCTTCAAATACATATAAAACAGCGGAAAAACAACAAGCACAACCTTTGCCTTCAACGTCTTATATGTATGTTACTGAAAGCATTTCATTATTTTTAAGTGAACAGTTTTTTTTTCATAGGGTAAGTTAACTCAAGATATGAGAAGTAACTGTGGTGTCAAGTTGAAAATATAATTAATGAAAGATAATTATTAAATATTGATATGAATACATAGTAAAGAAAAAAGTTGAAGAGGGAATTAGAAAATAATATCTAAAATACAATATTCTTTAAATTTTTTAAATACAAATTTTCCGAAATACAAATTTTCCGAATAAATACTGATATCCGTCAACTTCTATCTGTTTGCGTTTACTATTAAGATTCATACACAGGCAGGGCCATTATAAATAGATTGCTCTTGTTTACCTGCTAATAAAAT